ACCATCTATATCACACTTTTAATTACCCTTAAAACTCAGCCATGTTCTCTGGGTCTTATGAGAGGAGAAATAGCTAGAAAACAAAGCATTACCTAAAGTGGCTGTACGTTGGGAAACTATTCTAGTACCATGGGACAATATTTGTGCAAATATATCATCATTTAGAACAGGGGTTAAAATTTCGAGTCCAGACCTACTAGCCGGTCACAAAACTTACTCTCTACCAGTTGCCCCACCCAACCTTGCCCAGGTCTGCCCCCAACCCCAGCCCTGGCCCGCCCCACCCCAAACCCCACCCCCGGCCCACTCCCCGACCACGCCCCATTAAAGCTTATGAAATTACATTTTTCTTTAGAATAAAGAGTCCAAAATATAAAACTGTACACAGTAATGTATATCCCAGCTCCTTTTTCCTCCATTATAGTGATATGACATGTGTACAGTAATGTATATCCCAGCTCCCCTGTACTCCATTATAGTGATATGACAAGTATACAGTAATGTATATCCCAGCTCCCCTGTACTCCATTATAGTGATATGACATGTGTACAGTAATGTATATATCCCAGCTCCCCTGTACTCCATTATAGTGATATGACATGTATACAGTATGTATATCCCAGCTCCCCTTTACTCCATTATAGTGATATGACATGTATACAGTAATATATATCCCACCTCCCCTGTACTCCATTATAGTGATATGACATGTATACAGTATGTATATCCCAGCTCCCCTGTACTCCATTATAGTGATATGACACGTATACAGTAATATATGTCCCAGCTCCCCTGTACTCCATTATAGTGATATGACATGTATACAGTAATGTATATCCCACCTCCCCTGTACTCCATTATAGTGATATGACATGTATACAGTAATCATTACTGTATACATGTCATCACTATAATGGAGTACAGGGGAGCTGGGATATATATTACTGAGTAATGTATATCCCAGCTCCCCTGAACTCCATTACAGTGATATGACATGTTGTATACAGTATTTACTCCTAGTCCCTCCGAGTCCCCCACGGCGGTGGAGAGGGTGTCTCCTCTCAGCGGAGGAGAGCAGACTTCTCCTGTACCTGTCCCCTCAGCGGCGGTGCCACAGAAGCCGGAAACTGTAAGTTGTAAACCGGAACTCGGCTTCACAATGAGGCTTGGAGCGCAGGTGCAGTCGCTCCATGCTTCATCTGTGCATGGAATTTCTCCTCACATTTGGCGAGCGGAGCGAGCAGCTTTTTCAAGACCTGACTTAGAAGTATGGGAAGGTCACACTCAATAATCTTTTTAATCTTCCCAATCTCTAAGCTAAATGCAGTGGAAAACAGCGGTGGTCCCTTCCTGGACCTATATCTCATGTTTGTATTTAATGAATTGTTCCTGTCAGTACTGCTGGCTATACCCACAGCACAATCTATCGTAGACACTGAATAGCCACTCTGTAAGAAGCGATCCCACATGTGGGTCACCTCTCTGCTGAAATCTTCATCCTTGTTACAAATCCTGCATAATCGCAGAAACTGTCCCATGGGAACACCCGTGACTGTATACTTATAGTGCCCTGAATCAGCCCTTAAAATGCTATTTCCCTATAAAGGTTTTCTATATAAACTTGTGACAATTGTGTCCTCACACCCCCTCAGTGTGACATCCAAAAAGTTAATACTATGATAACTCATCTGCCCAGTGAATCTGAGGTTGAGGTCATTGTCATTGAGAAAGGACAAGAGATCCTCCAAACCCCCAAAATCACTGGAACAGATGGAAATCAAATCACCTATATAATGCCTAAATAATTGGATGTGGGGGCGGAATGTGTTGTCAGGTCCAAATATCTTCAGCTTCTCCCAGCAACCCATTTAGAGGTTGGCAAGAGAGGGCAAAAACCTGGCACCCATCGCTGATCCACACCGTTGGAGGTAAAATGCACTATCAAAATAAATATAGTTGTGTGATAATAGATATTCAAGACATTCCAAAATAAATTCCATCTGAATGCGGGAGTATACCCACATAAATCTAGAAAGAAGGAAACAGCCCTGAGCCCCAAAATGTGAGGGATGGACAAATATAGACTCACTGCATCACATGTAACCCACCTATCTCCTTCCCTCCATTTAACATTCTGACACAGGTTCTACAAATTATTGGTGTCACAAAGGTAGCTGGGGAGTCCCACCACTATAGGCTGTAGCTGGAAATCCAGCCATTGCCCAACCCTTTTGTTTAGGGACCCAATACCAGCTACAATAGGTCTGCCTGTTAAAGGATCCAGCCCCTTATGTGTCTTAGGTAAATGATAGAATATGGGGACAACGGGAGACTCCAGAACCAGTGCTTCACCTTCACGGTTAGATAGGATGCCCAACAGGACACCCTTTTGAATAGGTGAAGTAAGCACATTTTTATACTATTTGGTAGGATCCCTTTTCAATTTGAGATAAGTATTCTCATCTGACAGCTGAGAGCCTCACATCAGTATGTGTCAGCATCCTGGACAACAATCAAGCCCCCTTTATCTGAATTCTTAATAACAATAGCATTGTCCTCACTAAGTATCCTGAGAGATCTTCTCTTGATGGGGCTAAGATTGTCCACCAGGGCAGCGAAACCAGATGTAGTATGCATGGCCAATCTGATTAGCTTTTCTTCAGCCATTTTTTGAAAGTGATCCATTTCTTTGCCCTGTCAGGGTCCTGTCCATGGCAGAAGTTCTGGAAGATCCGGCATTTCTGCCAGTACTCTGCATGGCCACAGAAGCACACATCATCCTCAGTTTGGTGCCAGACGGCCTTTATAAGGAGGCTCATCACTTTCTCAAGTTGCTGGATGATCTCTAGCTCCCTGTGCCCTGTTCCTGTTTCCTGTGATTTTGACCCGTGATTTCCTGTTACCGACTTGGCTTGCTCCTGGACCTGTCTACTCTGCTTTACCCCTGATCTGACATCGGCTTGGCTTATGGATACTCTCTCTCGCGCCTCTGTGTATGACCTCGGATATCCCATCTGACTAGGTCTGCTGCTCTGATTCCCACTTGGTACCTGACCTTGGCTTGAACAGACTACCCAGTAAACATCTAAATCCCGGAAGGGCTTGCATACCACGCACTGGCGCCTCCTGTCTGCAGACCTATCTCCGTGCACCAGCTGTGCTTCTGAGTGGACCACCAACCAGCACTCCTACAGGCGACCTGTGCAACTTTGGGCCTGACTCCCGCTGTCCAACTCTCAGGGGTGTCCGGAACTTAGCCGCAAGGGAAGCCCTCTCTTCATTGGCCTCCATCACCAAGTACGTGATATGCCCCTAGCATGCATGGTATTAAAATCTGATCTATACCTCAGAGAATTTGGGACCAAAGATCCCTGTTCCTTCTCTTCCTCAAAATAAGATTGCATGGCTAAATCAGCCAAATCACAGATTTTACATTGGTCCATAACATTATTTATTTAGACCTCTTGTGCCAAATTTCCTTCAATGTCATCTCCATTTACAATCTCCCCATAAAAATGTTTATGCAAGGTGAAAGAGCGAACAAACCTATTGTCAGGGCTCCGGGTATGACCAGAGGTATGTGAACTGAAGCAGGGAAACGCAGGCTTCAGATATGTTATAAACAATATAATTTATTAATACTAACAATACAAAACGCAGTGCAATACTAAAACATAAACACAGTGCAAACGAACCAAACCAAACCACCCACAGATAACAATACATACAATGCAAGCGTAGTCAGGCAGGCCGGGTCAATAACAATCGGGCAGGTAGGAACAGGAGGAGCAGGCAGAGAGTAGTCAGGTCACGAGCTGGGTACAGCAACTAACGGGCAGGTAGGTACAGGGGGTCAGACAGAGAATGGTCGGGGTCACAAGCCAGGGATCAAAACAGGAGAAGTCAGCAGAGGTCAGGATCAGGGAGGGTCGGCAACAAATCAGTCAGGCAGGAACAGGAACAGGAATGCAGGTAACAAGATACAGGGGCCCATGGAAAAAACACACACCAAGGCACAGACTGCAGGTCTGGCCATCCCTTAAATACACCTGCAATCAGCCTCAGGTGTTTGGCTGACTGCAGGGTTGAGTCTCTGATTGCTGAGAGCACCCGCTGGCCAGCCCTGGTACTGCAGCCCACAAGGCAGGTGAGTCCCACCATTATTGGCAAGTCCATTCCTGATAGTACCCCCCCTCAAGGAGCGGCCTCAGGACGCTCCAAACAGTCCTAGCTGGGCAAAATGTTCCACCGCCCGGGTCTGGTAACTGGCGGGATATCAAAGACTGGCACATCGGGCAGGACTCCGGGTAGAGGCACATCGGGCAGGACTCCGGGCAGAGGCACATCGGGCTGGACTCCGGGCAGAGGCACATCAGGCTGGACTCCGGGCAGAGGCACATCAGTCTGGACTCCGGGCAGAGGCACATCGACTCCGGGCTGGACTCCGGGCAGAGGCACATTCGGCTAGACTCCGGGCAGAGGCACATCGGGCTGGACTCCAGGCAGAGGCACATCAGGCTGGACAGCGGGCAGAGGCACATCGGGCTGGACACCGGACAGAGGCACATCGGGCTGGACACCGGACAGAGGCACATCGGGCTGGACACCGGACAGAGGCACATCGGGCTGGACACCGGACAGAGGCACATCGGGCTGGACACCGGATCACCAGGCGGAGAAGCAGGCACCGGATCACCAGGCAAAGCAGCAGGCACCGGATCACCAGGCGGAGCAGCAGGCACCGGGCCACCAGGCGGAGCAGCAGGCACCGGGCCACCAGGCGGGGCAGCAGGCACCGGGCCACCAGGCGGAGCAGCAGGCACCAGGCCCCCAGGCGGAGCGGCGGGCACCGGGTCATCAGGCACGACAGCGGGCATCGGGTCACCAGGCATCAGGTCATTTGGCTCGCCAGCGGGCACCACATCATCTGGCAAGGCAGTGGGCACCGAGTCACCAGGCACGACAGTGGGCTCCGAGTCAACTGGCATGACCGCGGGCACTGGGTCAGACATTGGATCGTCTGGCTCGACAGCGGGCATCGGCACCAGGCATCAGGTCATTTGGCTCGACAGCGGGCACCGCGTCATCTGGCAAGGCAGTGAGCACCGAGTCACCAGGCACGACAGTGGGCTCTGAGTCAATTGGCACGACAGCGGGCACCGGGTCATCAGGTACCGGATCGTCTGGCTCGACAGCAGGCACCGGGTCATCTGGCGCTGGATCATCTGGCTCGACAGCAGGCATCGGGTCACCAGGCATGACAGCAGGCACTGGGTCATCAGGCATTGGATCGTCTGGCTCGACAGCGGGCATCGGGTCACCAGACATGACAGCGGGCACTGGGTCATCAGGCATTGGATCGTCTGGCTCGACAGCGGGCATCGGGTCACCAGGCGGAGCGGCGGGCGCCGGGCCCCCAGGAGGTGCGGCAGGCGCCGGGCCCCCAGGCGGAGTGGCGGGCGCCGGGCCCCCAGGCGGAGCGGCGGGCGCCGGACCCCCAGGAGGGGCGGCAGGCACCAGGCCCCCAGGCAGAGCGACAGGCACCGGGCCCCCCCATGGAAAAACACACACCAGGGCACAGACTGCAGGTCTGGCCATCCCTTAAATACACCTGCAATCAGCCTCAGGTGTTTGGCTGACTGCAGGGTTGAGTCTCTGATTGCTGAGAGCACCCGCTGGCCAGCCCTGGTACTGCAGCCCACAAGGCAGGTGAGTCTCACCATTATTGGCAAGTCCATTCCTGACACCTATTCAAATCTAAGCTAGTATCAAACAGATTGAAATGACGTGTAGGGAAAAAATTCAGACACATAGACAGCAGATATCTATCATCACAAGACAGAGTTCTAGACAAGTTCAAAATATTTTCTATTGTTTCGGCATCTGTTTCCATAGCGAGTAACTGTCCCGACCTTCTCCACATTCTTCTTTCCTTCTTTCGACTTTATTGGGCTTTCCTACGTTTTTCTTGACGTGCTTCTTTTTGCTCACCTCTATGTCTTTTAGATGGCTGGGACCAGGTGTAACGCTCTCATTCATATCTGAGGAGGAATCCACCCCCCAATGCTGCTAAAGTATGATCCAAATTGTGATTCTCAGTCTAAGAAACACAAACTCTCTTGATAATACCAGCAGCATATCCCTTCTTCTTTTTATTATTAAATCTTGAATGAAATATTACATTAGCTACCAAGATGGCCTACTCCACCAGGTCTATGTGGCTGGTCCTCTTTATGTTTCTCTGAGATGATGAATGCCTCAGATGAGATGTCTCTGGACTCCTTTAATTCCTGTTCCAGTGACAAATTTTGGACTCCCCCACATGTCTTCACTCTCAGGGTGAGCAGGAATGTGGATCTCTCCAGTGGGCACACACACCGCAATTTCATCCCAAACTCAGTCCACCTCCTCCTGGTCCGGAGCTGTACAGGAAGCAGAGGGGTCCTTCTATAGGTGTCTGTTCTCTGCCTTGGAATAAAGGAGTCCAGAGACATCTCCAAACAAGACACTGAAGTCCATCCTCTGGAGGAGAGAGAAGAGCCTCCTTCTGGTTATTTTCATCACCGTTTTACTTCTCTTCTTCCTGGGAATATTCTACCACTCCTTCCCGAACTCTCTCTCCTGTGTCCGGCTGTCCTCCACTCTTCCTACCACTCCATCCCCCACAGCTATCTCCTCCTGTGCCACCATCCCCTCCCTCCTAGATTGTAAGCTTGAAAGAGCAGGGCCCTCGATACCCTCATGTTTTGCATTGTATTGGTATTGTTCTGTCACATGTTCTGTCCCCCTTTATAATGTACAGCGCTGAGCGAACTATTGGCGCTTTATAAATACTGTATAATAATAATAATAATAATAATAATAATTATGAGATCATCGGGGTGAGCCTGCAGCCGTCCATTCATCTCCTTTGATACTGCTAGCATGGGTGTCAGTGTGGAATCTGAACACCATCTGCTCATTTGATCTCTTGATTGGAAATCAGTGTGTCGGTAAGAGGCTGATTTGTTTGTTCTGGAAAGCACTTATGGACACCATAACACTTTGTTGGAAGATTTTTCAGCACACAGCACTTTCATATTGGATTTGGGACTTTTATGTTTATTCACTTTATGCATTTGGACTTTTTAGCACTTTAGATACATTTTTTGCAGTTAGTATTTATATTCATTCATGGTTTTTGAATACATTGTGTTTGGGGGATTGGATTTGATTGTTTTAAAATCATTCACTCATTTTATTTATTTAGGGTTCAATATAGAGTTGGTCCACTTTTTGCAGCTATAACAGCTTCAGCTCTTCTGGGAAGACTATCCACAAAGTTTAGTAGTGTGTATATGGGAATGTTTGACCATTCTTCCAGAAATGCATTTGAGAGGTCAGTCACTGATGTCAGACGAGAAGGCCTGGCTCGCAGTCTCCACTCTAATTCATCCCAAAGGTGTTCTGTGGGGTTGGGATCAGGACTTTATGCATGCCAGTCAAGCTCCTCTACCACAAACTCAATCACCCATGTCTTTATGGACTTTGCTTTGTGCACTGGTGCACAGTATTGTTGGAACAGGAAGGGGCCATCCCCAAATTGTTCCTACAAAGTTGGGAGCATGAAATTGTCCAAAATGTCTTGATATGCTGACGCCTTAAGAGTTCCCTTCACTGGAACTAGGGGGCCAAGCACAACCCCTGAAACACAACCCATTTGCCTCCACTTTGTTATAATACCACTAACAGTTGACCAAGGAATATATAGTAGCAAGGAAATTTCACGGATGGACTTATTGCACAGGTGGCAACCTATCACGGTATCATGGTAGCATGCTTGAATTCACTGAGCTCCTGAGAGCGACCCATTCTTTCACAAATGTTTGTAGAAGCAGTCTGCATGCCTAGGTGCTTCATTTTATACACCTGTGGCCTTGGAGGTGATTGGAACACCTGAATCCAATGATTTGGAGGAGTGTCCCAATACTTTTGGCAATATAGTGTATTAGTGTGAGTAAATAGTAAATACATGCTCTGCATGCTCTCTCTGAATTCTTCCTTAAATGAGGTGACAATGCTATGCCATCAACACATCACTGATTGCAGACCACCAACACATCTGGGACAATTTCTCCTGTCCATTGCATTGTGCAAGCTGTGCTGTGTAATAGTGTTATAGCCCTGAATTTTGCATTATGACTGCTATACTGTTGTACATTACATAGTCCTGATGGCTGCATGCTATATGCTCTAGCTGGCTGGCTGATCAAAAAAGCATGAACCATCTTTGCCATCTTTAGATGTGCACCAATGAATACAGTATTCCTAGTATTTAAAGCAGAACTTCACCTAAAGAAGGAAGTTCCTCTCTTCTTCCTCCTTCCCCACTCCTCTACTACTATATTTCGAACATATTTTTGCAGGGGGAACGGGTATCTAGTTTTGACACTTTCCTCCACCCTACCTGCTCACAACCATCTTGGACAATGCAAAGGTCCCAGAAACCTGCAAGACCATTCACAAAGCTCAGTTTGGCTACCACATACGCATGTGCAGCAGCAAGGAGTCACAGCCTGCTGTCCACAGTTAAAAAGCCACACAGGGGACCTGAAGACTGGTGAAGAACCAGCCTTGATGAGGTTGGCCCTGGATCCTTGCACAGGTGAGCATCTGTTTATTGAAAGTCAGCAGCTACAGAACTGACAGAAGAACCTCTTTAAGTTATCATCTCCTGATGTAGGTAATTGGTTGTATTGGGGTTAGTAGAGTAGAATGCTTTCACTTTGCAAAGTGAATAATTTTACTACATTTTTTTTTGGCAATGTTTTTTAAATAACTGGCAGATATCAAGGTGGTTTATACAAACAAGGAAATATCCTGCATACAGCTGCAGTGTGCAACAATGATATTTCAGTCCACATATTTCAAAACTGTGGAGCAGTTTACAAAGGTTGCTTGATGCCAACTTGAAGATAGGGGTGTGTTCCCAAGACAAAGGCTACATAAAGCACATTGGGAATAAATGCTCGATTTGCCATATATACACACATTTTAGAACAGCAGTTAGTTTTTATTGAATTCTAACAAACGCGGCAGAGGACAGATATTTCATTATTGATGGAGAGATATGTTCATCATGCTCTACTTAACGAGGGAGAAGAAAATGAGATGGTGAGACTATTCTGTGTAATCTCTTTCTAAAAAGTAAATATTCATTTCTAGGATAGTGTGTACAAGAGAGTGAGAAAAAAAAGAAAACTCTGATGTTTGGCTTTCAATTACGCCAACCCTAGGTGCTGTGCATAGAATTCCTAACATTTTGTAAGCTGCAGTTTTGCAGCTCTGATGTTTGGCTTTCAATTACGCCAACCCTAGGTGCTGTGCATAGAATTCCTAACATTTTGTAAGCTGCAGTTTTGCACTTTCCTGAGTTTCTGTCAGTAAAAAATTTCTGTATATCTATACAGGTCTGAGGACATAGAGGCAGTTTTGCCCTTTTTTTCTTGTTATAAGTTAGGGTATAAACCCACTTGCTCAGAAACTTGTAAAATATGAAGAAAGAGAGAGATTTTTGTTATTTAATTTCTATTTAATTTCTCTGGATCTGCCAATAGGCTCCTTGAAAAACATGCTTGGGGATTTTTTTTTGGAATATACTCTGCAGGCATTGGGGGGGGGGGGGAGTTAGTAAAACTGGAACACTCAGAATCTGGTGCCAATCAGCGTCTAACTTCAACTTGTTCAATTAAGCTTTGACAAAAAACCCTGGAAGCTGATTGGTTTCCATGCAGAGCTGCACCAGATTGTGCATGCTCCAGTTTTAGTAAAGTTTCCCCACTAGTTTTAGTTTTGGATGAATGTCATTCATTTTTTTTATCTTCTGGCATAGAAGGGATAGTGGACACTAACTAATAAGCTGGTGCTGAACATTTTCAGCATTTGTATTTGCTTCTCATAGGTGGATTACAACACTCTCACCTGATGCTCATTTTGTAAAGTGCTGTGCAAACTGTTGGCGCTATATAAATCCTGTATAATAATAATAATATTGCCTATAGATTCAAATTTGTCACATATATCTCATTCTGGTGGAGAGAAAGATTTACCCTTGCAGTGGGTACCCATTTCCACTGCAAAGCTTAAGTGTTCAATTTGCCTAGGGGACTATGAATGGTGATACACTTAACTTATTTCTCACTCCCAGAGCAACCAGTGATCTAATCCACTGTCCAAAACTTGGAATGTGCGGCATTCTCCCATGCAATGCAGGACCACTGGTCCTTCATTGTAGGGAATGACGTTGAAGAACTGTGACCAGTTGGGCAGCGATGGTAACAGGCTTCTGGGAAACAATTCCACGAAGACCAGGAAGTCAACAGGATTGAGTAATAAGGTAAGTATATCACCTTATTTATCATCCCCTAAGCAACACTAACCTAGAGCCTAAGCCAGTCCTCACTGCAAGG